TTTTTTTTTTAGAAAAAGAATCCCTTAGGCTACATGTGGGCAAAACAGTGGCTTTCCAACTTCTGAGTGACAAAGGCTCCCTCATGGCCATGTTCTATGTGGCTGGAACTTTTGCTCCACCTTGTAATACCTGAAATTTCCTTATGACAATAATGAAAGGCTGCTTTCCAGGTTTTTGCCCCCAAATTGCTGCCCAGATAACCTGTTCTAAATGTAGACACAGACTGAGGTACTTTGTCTAGAAGGTCCCACGTACATGTTCTTTAACTCTGAGATTCTCTCCAAATTTTAAAAGAATTAGAGATTTTCACATGGGTTCAAGTCAACACTGTTGTTGTTAGGTGCCGTCAAGTTGAGTACAATTCATAGTGACCCCAGAAACAACAGACCCAAGCCCTGCCCTGTGCTCTTCTGTCCCCATCATCTCTGACACACACGAGAATAGCATAAGAAACAATAATGAGCCCTCCTCTGTGGTCCACTGACAGCCCGTTGAGTGGGCACAAGTAATGAATGCCATCCTTAATCTTCACAGCCTCCAGATGGAGAGCTGGCACCAGAGGAGAAGTGGTCCGGCAGTGTGATGAGCACTGGACAGTAGCCCTGGGAAAGACTGAGGAGAGACTGGCTCACTGCAGCTGGTCCCCGTAGTGGCTCTCTGAGAAGGGGCTGGTTGGACAGCACTTTGCAGTTAAAGTCAGCTTAGTAAGAGACCCACAGATTTTTAAATAATACCTTACTGTCCAGAATTCTTTAAGATATTGTTTAGAAGTATTAGTCGAATAGTAAATTGCAAAGAATGAAAAATGGCAGGCCTGTAATATATGGTCCTTTCAGACAGACTAAAGATTTGATACCAAGAATAGATTTGATCTTTTCCCCCTCCATAAATTATCGTGTTGGTAGATGGATGATAGAGAAGGGTGAGGTTGATATCCAAAGCATAGAAAATGGCATTGTAACAGAAGCTCTTCAGATTCCACGTTGAGCCAACAGAATTTTGTTAACACAAATATATTTACTATTTTAAAGATTTTGGAAGAGTATAATTCACTATTTTCAGAAAAAACTTTGGCAATGTAGCTTTTATGCCTCTGCAAAGTTTAATAAAACATTTGTTATATGCTGAAGTTCATGTGACTATAATAGGATATAAATTACTTGTGTGTGTGTATATAGAAACAGTTGTTAACAACATGTTGTTGTTGTTGTTATGTGCCGTCAATGCTTGCGACTCATAGCGACCCTATGTACAAAAACTCTAAACTCTGCTCTGTGCTGTGCCAATCTCATTGTCTCCGACACACATCCCGATTGCCCCAGTCACCAAATCAATCCACCTCCTAGAGGGCCTTCCCCTCCTGCACTGTCCCTCCACCCTCCCAAGCATGATGTCCCTCTCCAAGGACTGGTCTCTCCTTACAACATGACCAAAATATGTCAGACGAAGCCTCAGAATTCTTGCCTCCAAGGATCAGCCCAGTTTAACCCTCTCCAGGATGAATCTGTTTTCTTAGCAGTCCATGGCACCTTCAGCACTCTTCTCCAACACCAAAACTCAAAAGTATCAATTCTCCTTCTATCCTCCCTGGTCATTGTTCAGCTCTCTGACGCATAACAAGTGATTGCAAAGACCATGGCCTGTACCAGACGCACCTTAGTCTCCAAAGACACATCATTGCTTTTCAGTACTTTAGAGAGGTCCCTAATAGCAGATTTTCCCATTGCAATACATCTTTTAATTTCCTGGCTACTAGTGCCAAGAGTGTTGATTGTGGAGCCAAGCAGACTAAAGCTGTGAACAATCTCAATCTCTTCACCATCCATCCTGATGCTGCCAATTGGTCCAGTGGTGAGAATCTTTGTCTTCTTGACATTGAGCCTCAATCCATACTGAAGGCTGCAGTCCTTGACCCTCAGCAGCAAGTGCTTCAGGTCCTCCTCAGTTTCAGGAATCAGAGTTGTGTCATCTGCATAACGCAGATTGTTGATAGATCTTCCACCAATCCTGGTGCCACATTTCTCCTCATAAAGCCCAGCTTCCCGGATGATCTGTTCTGCATACATGTTGAAAAGGTATGGAGATAGGACACATCCCTGGCATACACCCTTCCCAATTTTGAACCGTGCAGTGTTCCCTTGCTCTGTTCTGACGATTGCCTCTTGGCTCAAGTATAAGTTTCGCATTAGCACGATCAAGTGATCCTGGGATTCCCATTCTTCTATTAACATAGATAAGCATAAACATAATTATAGCTAATACTTAAGTTGCACAAATTATTGCAGTATCTAACTGTTAAGTGTGAAATATTTTTATGCTCCATAAATAATTTTTCGTTTCAAGAGTGTTAGGTTTATTTTAGGATGTATGTTTCCCTTTCTCTGCGTAGTTGGAAATAACTCAAAAGTAGTGTTTGAGTGCTGATAGAGAGTAATAAAAAGCTTTGCATGAGAAGACGGCTGAGAAGCAAACTCACCACTACGTGCTGAGTTTGGAAGGCATCATAGGCTTGAGGACTAGTCTGTACCTGTTGTTCTCTCACACTGACATGCAACAAGAGCTGCTGTGTCCTGGTCACAGCAAAACCTCGCAGGACATATCATGAGTCTTCCCAGTGACTGAAACGTAAACCTCGTTTAGTAGCGGGAAGGCATCGATGATGGAGTGAGTCTTAGGGGTAGAGCAGAGTATTTTTTTGTTCACATTTCATGGTACTAAGTAACACATAAGGTTAGTGTTCTACCTTTGTGAAATAGCCTGCTGTCTGTTAGAGACAGCACGGCTGTCCGATTGCCCACATTGACCAACAGGTCAATTTCTCATTTACGATGTTCTTTCCCTCCCACCTGCACTTCCGGCCTCCCCCCAGCCCCCTCTCTTAACTGAACTTCTGAAATGCATTCTCATGCCTTTGTAGAGTTTTATCCTTTATTCCAAGAACGCATTGGGGGGGGGGCGGTGCGAGGAATTGTCATTCTGTCTGTTTTATTTGCGCTTCCTCCTTTGTAGAAAATAGATTTTGAAAAGTTGGGTTTGTAGTGTGGAGAAAGGGGTAAAAAGACAAGGATTGGGTAGTATTAATCAGAGTCTCACAGATATTTAACACAGGCCTCTTGTTCGTCTGCAAAATCAGCACTGAGGCAATGGACTAAGAAGTGGGAATATATTTGAAATCCTTTATATATTTGAAGAGTTTGAAACTCTTTGGGTTATGAACTGATGCTCTATTTATATATCCATTAGTTATTATTCTTATCTTCCAGTACCCTATCCATATGGATATAAAAATCAGTCTGAGAAAGCATAAAATAACTATTCAGATTCTTAATCTAGTCATTACAACTAATATGAAAATAAGAACAAAAATCTGAACAAATATACTTAGCCACCTATAACCTTCAAACTATCTTCTCTAGATCCTGTTTTTTATGTAACACAAAATAAACACCACATCTTATTCATACTGTGTGTAGTTGTGACTATTATTTGGATACAGTGATAAATAGGGGGGAAATCTAGAGAATTTGAAAAATAGCTCTTTTTCTGGTAAATTGCTTCCTGCTTTCATTCTCTATTACTGGTAAGAACTTGGGCATAAAATTTATGTAGTTATTTTATGGTGGTTCTGCTAGGAGCTCTATTTCCCAATACTAGAATAAACAATGAGAGCGTAATTGGACTAAATATGTAGGCCCTTCTGCTTTTTTCATATCTACACATTTATTCACTAAAAAATATACCAAAATCGGCTTTAATCTTTGGAAATGTACTGCTGCCCACCTCCATGGGGCCATCTCACCTGCTTTTTTTGTGTTTGTTTTTGTTGTTCCTACGTCCACTGCAGGTTCTACATGGTCAGCTATTATGAGCGGAATCACAGGATAGCAGTTGGCGCTCGGCATGGTTCAGTGGCCCTGTACGACATCCGAACTGGAAAATGTCAGGTAAATAAATCATTGTGACTTCCACTCCATAAAGTGTAGAAGTTATTGAAAGGAGAGAGAGACTTAGCACTTCACCAGCTGACGTGCCGAGCTGCTGGAACATTATGGATAATGCTGAGGGGATCAATAGTTTAATGAAGGACTCAAAGAATATAGAGCCCTACTGTCTTTATTTGCTGACTTTATTTGGGGATTGAGGGCAGCTCCAGATGGGCTCATCAGAGCCCAGGGGGAGGGGTTCACTCTCACAAACTACTTTTCAAGAAACCAGATCCTTTTTAAAAGCAGCGTTTTCTGATTTTCTTATCTTTTTTCTGTCATGTGGTTTCCGAAAAAAATACTTTACAATGCATCATTATGATACTGTGGTAAATAAAAGTTAATTGTCTGTCTGCTGATTAAAGGGAAATATTTAGCAACTCAATGCAATCAGCCAAAGTTCATTTAAAAGAAGTCCTTACAATTGCACTCCTGCCGCTCTAAAAATTATATTCTTTGTGAAATTATAAGTATTGCTTCTATAACTTTGTTGTTGATGAGTTGATGAAAATTCAGTCCATCATTTTCTCACTTGATTTTAAAAATATCCCAGTTGTTTCTACGGAAGACATCTAATCGTCACTGCAGATACAAGGAGACCATAACTTAGAGATGAGAAATCTCCTTTTCCCGATACCAGACTGCTGGTTAATAGCAAGGCTAGAACTCAGTTCAACTGGGATCGTGGAAAATTGGTTCTATTCACCGGTCATGACTTCTTATATTTCATCCTAGCATTTGTAAATGTTGCTATATTAAACTATATTACTGTGAAGCTGTATGAGAACATTCATTTTCCTGTGGCTAACATTTTAATTTGTCTCATAAATTTAATAAGCTGTTGATTTTTAAAAAAAATATTTTTTACTTCTTTCTGTGAAGAAGTTCTGTGAGATGGTAATAGATGTTGAGACTAAGAAGACCAGAGTCAGGCCTGTTTAGGAGAAGAATACCGTTAGCAACGTCAACTTATCTCATTGTACGACTCAGAGTGTCGACTGTGTGAGTGTGTGTTCCTTGACAGCATAGAGGAGGCACCGTTTGCTTTGTCGTTAGCTGTTCCATTTTGTTTCATTGTGTGATTTTTGTCTAAGACATTAACTAACTATATTCCTTTGCTCTGAAGTCAGAGAGCAATAAAACCACTTTGAATACTTGTTTAAAAATGAAGTTGCATGTTGTTTATTATATTCTCTCAGAAGAGACTGCATTTTCAGAATCTTTTGTTAAGATGGTTTATTAGAATTGGAATATATTACTGCTAGCAGACTGGAGAAAAATGAACCACAAACACTTTTAAGAGAAAGAACGTTGGGGGAAAAAATAAAGAAGAAGAAAAAGGCATATTTTCAAAGCTTCTTTAAAAAATGAAGTGAGAAAATCCTACAGAAGAATCTTCCTTATCAGGCAAGACACAGTTGCCACCTGTAGAGAGAAAAGTAAGGTGCTTATGGGCAAAGGCAGACAAGGGTCATTGCAACAAATGAAAAGCCACATTGCAGATAGAAGGGCATTTCTTCACATTTTTTGCCTGCTGTGGCTTCAGAAAGGCATCTTGGTTACATATATAAACTGTTTGCATTTTTGGATACTCTACGCCTTTTTTATTAAACACTTGATGTACACTTATTAATCAAAGGTATTTCTAATGTTGATTTGTCATTCAATATGCGATTTTACTTTCTGGGTCTCATTTAGTGCAAACAAATATTTGCATGTCCTCATGCTCCTTTGCTACCAAGGATTCTCAGTTCTGGTACACAGAGTTCTCATTCATGTATGGTTGAGTAATCCATTCCAGTTTTGTGTGAACCTGAAGGACATTCTTAGCTCTTACCCTCCAGAACTTGGAAACAAAACTAAATCTCCACAGTCACTCATGAACTACTTTTCCTAGCAGTAATTGTAAACTCTTGTTTAAGATTAATGTTAATGAATGTTTACAGAGATTTTGTATTCCATATATTCATGGTTGCATTTTTCTCCCTGCCCACCCTGAGTATACCCCACTATGCAACCTTCATTCTGGACTCTTGTCATAACCATAATATCCAATCATACATCTCTTTCAAACAGTTCTCTCTCTCTCATCTGTTTCAATGCAGTATACATGATTTATCCAATTTTTCTCAGTCTCACTCCAGCCTTGATGTCAGGCCCTTTCTACAGTAGAGGCACCATGCAGCACCTGTCCTTTTGTGACATGTCCTCCAAGGTCACCCATTTTGAATAATATTGCATTAGTTCCTTATTTTTCAATGCAGCATAGTATTCCATTGTGTGAATATACCACAGCTTCTCTATCCACTCATTTGTTGGTGGGCACTTAGGTTGTTTCCAACTCCTTACTATTGTGAACAAAGCCGCAATAAACATGGGTGTGCATATACCTACTTGGGTGGCAGTTAGGTTTCTTTAGGGTAGAGTCCCAGTAATGGAATTGCTGGGTCAAATGGTATTTCTATTTGCAACTTTTTGAGAGAGCACCATACAGCCTTCCATAGTGGTTGCACCATTTTACACTCCCGCCAACAGTGAATAAGGGTTCCAGTTTCTCTGCAACCTCTCCAGCATTTGTTGTTTGCTGCTCTGTTGAATTTTGCTATTCTTACTGGGGTGAGATGATATCTCATAGTTGTTTTGAGTAATTGTAAACTGTTAAGGAGTTCTTTGAATATTTGTTTTTTATGAGTTTGTTGTGTAAGGTTGAGTTGACTTCGTCTCACAGCAAAATGAAGCACTGTCTGGCCCTGCACCATCTCTAGTCATCAATGCGCTCAAGTTCATTACTGCACCCACTGTATCATTTTAACACCATCAGAGCTGGAAGGCTCGTCTTCCGACACCATACAAGACCATCTTTGGTGGCAGTGCTTGGGGTTTTCATTGACCACTTTTTAAAAATAATTGCCAGCCCCATGACTTGCTTATTATCTGCTGGAGATTACCATTTGGGCATCATCTCTTAGTCACCATGATGAAAAAAATCTTTCCACCCCTGCTGCCCACCTACATCCTTTCCTAGCCTATTTGTTTCTCTCAGTAGCATCAGAATATGGTTAGAGACCTCTCCAAATTATTGAGGTGTAATGATGTTAGTTTGAAGACTAAGGTGCATGTGATTCAGGCCATGGTCTTTCCTATTACTTGCTATGCATCTGAGAGCTGGACAATGAATAAGGACAACAGAAGAAGAATTGGTGCCTTTGAACTGTGGTGATGGAGAAAAACACTGAACATCCCCTGAAATGCCAACAGAACAAACAAATATGTCTTGGAGAAAGTGCAGCCTCATAAAGCTTCACCTCACATACTTCAGGCATGTTGCTAGGAGGGGTTATTCCTTGAAGACAGACATGATGCTCAGAAAGGCAGGGGGTCCGCAAAGGAGAGGAAGACCCTCAACCAGGTGGATTGACACCATAACTGCCACAGTGAGCTCTTGTGTGTCAGGAACTGTGAGGATGGCACAGGGTAGGACAGGGTTCAGTTCTGTTGTTGATAGGGTCGCAGTGAGTAATAACTCGACTCAATGACACCTAACAACAACAAGCATAATAATCCAATGACATAATGCACCTTGCCTCTCCCCTGATCCCTCTCAGCTAATCACTGTGTTCATTTAACTTTTCCTTGGCAGTATACCTCGAAACTACCCCTTGCCACATGTGACTACCTAAATTAGCCCTTTGACTTCTTCAAGATCTGTGAAGTTCTGACTTTGATCACCTTCCACAATCCCATCTGCCTTTGAACTCACTCAGTTACACTATTCATTCAGCTACACTGCTTTCAGAAGTGTGTGCTTCTGAGTGTTTTATTGTAAGCCCCGCTAAGACTTCAGGAGCTAACCGTGTCCAGTTATACTTGTCTTTAGATAATATTAAAATTAGTCTAACCTCTGTGAGTATACACAGCAAGTCTAGACCCAAGTGAAGCACGCTAATGACCAAAATACTGAGAATAATCCACAGAGAAATAAGAAACACTGCCTGTGTCCATTAATGTTACTGTTATTTATTTTTATTTCAACATTTTTATTTTATTTCAATATTTAAATCACTCATATAACCTTTTCTAAACGCATACACCTTTATTTCTTATACAGAATAATTATAATTGCTTCTTTTCCATTGTTCTTGTTAGGCCATCTCTATCTAGTATTACTGAAAAAGCAATTTATTTCCCATTATTCCTAGAGAAGGCAATGTTGTGGGCTGTTAAGAGAGCAGCTTCTAAAGCCAGAATACCTGGGTTCAACGCCTAGCTCAGGCGATTTCTGCGCTTTATGACCTTCAGTGAGGATCTTAAGCTCTCTGTGTTTGAGTTTTTCCTTCTATAAAATGGCATTGTTTTGGGAACAGTAAAAGAATGAGTAAATGTGAAGTGAGTGCAGGCATGTAGCAGGTGCTCAGAAAAGGTTAATCATTGTTATTTCATCAAAATAGGTTAATTAAGAAAATAAAATCCATCCGTTACCACCTTCTGTTCTTAATGTTATTTTTCATATGATTGTTTTGGAGGAGAAGAGGCTGTTCTCTTTCCTGGGCTCTTTGAATGAATTTGGCAAAGTAAAAGGAATAGAATATCAAACCAAGTAATTAGTGGATTTCAAGATGAAACATACTGAACTGTTCTCATCCATCTGTTTTTCCTAATTGTCTATTTACTTGGAATTTTCATAATACTAATCTATCTTTATGCTGACATTCTTTCCAGTGATTTTTTTTTTAAATAATTGTACTTTTCAATATATTTACTTTGTTAGGATCTTTCTAAGTAGTTTCAGGCCGATTTCCAAATCCATTATCCACTTGAAAGTTGTTTTAAAAATCTTGGGTTCATTTTGCACAAGTAGGTTTTTCCACGAACATTATTATGCTATTTATTGTCCATATCAGTTTCCTTAGCATCCTTTTATCAGATGATCAGGTCATGAACTTGGACATTTCATTGTCGTT